CGGAACAAACAAACAAACTCACTTTCTGATTTATAATATAGTAAGGATAAGGATAGTTATCAAAAGGCATATGCTGAACCGGTCACATTTTACGGTAGACTTGAGACATGAACATATTATACCCATTGGTATTTAGAAACTAATAATACTATAATCTGTACATGTCTTTGTTTATAGCGTGTGAAATAAAGTTCTTTTTCTTTATTTTTTTCTAGTTCAGGCTTAATAGCGAGCGATGCTGCTCGGTCTGTATCAGATATGTAGTCCCTTAGTCGGGTATACGACACCCACGGGAAGAGTATAGGTGCTGACAGATGTATTTATTAGGTACACACGGCTTCGAATAGATTATCAAGTTGTTGCAATTCGAAACTAGATTTCATAAAATAGTAATTTCATTTATGACGTGTTTAAATAAAATCTGCTTTTGGGAGCGAGAACGAAGCCACTCGCATTTGTTTATAATTTTATCGAAGCGTTTATAACTCTAAATAAAGTTATTCCTTTTACAACAAAATGCTCTCATTTAAAAGGTAACTAAATTGACTTTTATACGACATTCTTTTTGAGGGGGGGGGGGGAATCATCCACTGGCTTCCCCGTTAGGCTTTTCGCGGCTCCGTCCCGGGCAACAACCCTGCTGGGCCCTATCTGTGGTAGTCCGATGCCACTTTGAGGTGCGCGCGGAACGGGATGTGCTGTACACACGTGTCTGGTTCTGCTCGCCGTCCGCAGACCCGTACTTTACTGGCCGGAGATCGTTATGCGATCTCCTACGCCTAGAGTATCTCCCGCAACGCCTGGGACGTAAAGTGGTTCGTGCTCCTTGATTAGCATGACTGTTTCGCAGGCGGCATCCCAATCCCTCTCGCTCCACACCATGGCCTAGGACCTAGGACGCAAGAGGTCGCTAATCACATCCCCGAGGACACGGCGGTGCTCAGCCTACGCAGGGCACACCGCCGCTGTATGCTCCACTTATATTACCAATTACTAAAATACTTGTATCAGAAAAATATTTACTAAAAATTGCGGGTTACTCACGTGAATATACTGAGAAAAGCTCTACTAGTTTCGAATCACAGAGGGGTTCTTCCTTACGAGTAGCGTTCGCGGTCGCGGCGATGTCTGGCTGTTCAGTACAGTAGAGTAGTAGAGAGTTAATATAGTATGTCTCACGATAATTATTATAAAAACACAGAAAAATATTTAGCAAGAAATGAAAAAGAATGCAATATTGTAAAGAGGTATAATTATTAGCTGAAATTCAGTTACGCTGCGCTGGAACCAACCTGGAAAATAATTTGTGAACTGTCAGTACTTCGAAATAGATAATAACAAACGTAATGGTCCACTGCTAGAGGACATTGTCTAAATAAGACTGCTCACAGCTGAGAGTACTATACTCGGAATTTTAATTCGATTCCAGATTTGACAATTTCAGTGTTGCAACGTTATGACAAGTACTAAATAGTGACGTTGCAAAATTATTCGATATGGAAATGCAATATTTCTGGATCGATTCTTCTCGTTTATAATTTTACTCTCGTAAACTAAGTATATCAGGAAATTTAATATTTCTGAACCGATAATTTAGTTTTGACGATTAATTAACGATCTGGGACTTTTCTTTTATAATTGTGTGTGTAATATTTATTATAAAACACACCCACTGATTGTTTATCGTTTTTTTGTGTGCATCACTACACTATTTTAAGTGGTATCATTATTTCACAAAATGACAGTAGCTATTGTCAAATCTGGAATCTAATTAAAATTCTGACTAATGTCGGAATACTGAAACGCTACTCAATTTTAAGTCGTGCTTAAGTATAGTTCTATCTCTACAAATTCTTTGTAAAATGACAGAGATAGCACGATATTTGAGCACGACTTAAAATTGAGTAACGTTTCAGTATTCCGGCATAAATGCAACATCGACCTTCACCGATCTGTTTCATGGAAAATACGTACTCGATAGGTAATTTAGTTTAATAAAAACAAGGACTTTGAACACAAGGTGGACGTAAAGTCACTTAGACATGGTTGAAGCACCAAAATATAAGTGGTGTATGTCTGCGTGTACTTGCAACAGCGTAATGCATGAAGTGTAATGACGGGCCATGTCACGCGACAGATGTACTTCGTATCAATGTGTGTGTAGTCTGCGTGTAAGTCTATAGTAGTCAGGTAGAGGTGTAAGAGACTATGTTCGCCTTTTTTTATTGTCCTTGAATATATAAAAAATGGGCTGTTTGATAAAATTTTGGCCAGGCTATAAAATAAAGAGGTTTTAGTTCCGTTGGACATTGATTTTATTTATCTATTTTAGTTGTCATTCATAATTGAATCCTAGTTTATTCAGGACAGTTGGATAACCCATAATTTGCATAGAATTGAATGGTTCATTGAAGAATTTGCTAGTTGTTAGTTCGATGCCAAGTCTGTTCTATTGGTGAACTATTGAATAATTATGTCACTCGTCTCTAGACTAACTGAATGTATTACAGTTTTCTCTAGTTGGATCTATATTACTTTTTTAAAATTCCTATTGATAACTGGGAACCCAGAATTATGCTTCAGACCTATGTATGTCTGCCCTGCGCATGGCACATGACCACTGTGATACCGTCTTAGGTTACAAAGGTGGCCTGAAGTCAGTGAAGAAAGAGAGGTGAATAATCAATCAGCCACAAGGCCTCCACTGCTGAACATACCCCTTTCCCAAAGACTTCCAGACTTGCATCTAGTGATTGTCTCTGACTTTAGTTAGGTCGTCTGTTCACCTAGTAGGTGGAACTCCTGTACTGCACTTGCCAATACATGGCTTTCATTTGAATACCTTTCTGTCCCATCGGCTAGTTCAGTTCTAGGCAGTTCTTCAAGCTACGTGTCCCGCCCACTGGCACTTCAATCTTAATCTTAATAATATTATACATTTGTAACATTTTCACGTAAAACCGGCTGAAGGGTATAGATTGCTTATGGGACGACGTGTTCCATCGTAGACCGCATCATCGCTTACCACTAGGTGATAAACGTTGGCCCATCAAATATACCATTAAAAAAAGGGGATCGGGATGAAACTTGAAACACGGATAGATTAGAGTCTGGAATAATATAGGTACAGACTACTTTCTATCCCACGGAAACGTGGGAAGCAGCGGGCAGAAGCCAGTCTCTGCCTGCCTAAACCCAAAAAAAGGTTCGTCACATAAGTGGCGTAGCGTGCCTAAGCGGGGCCCGGTATAAGAAATTGGTTTCATAAGGAAACAAATGTGTAAAACCCTAATAATTTGCGTGAAAATTGGAAAACTTCCCTCTTCCCAATAATCGAACTATGAGTAGTAGAGTTTAGTTTTTTTAAAGTACCTACCAATCTTTGAACGCATGCTTTACTCGGGAAAAAGTCTTTTATTTTGACCTTTGTGATTACTAAAATACCTAAAATACAAATTGGGTAGTTTTTATAATGTTTTGCTTACGAACTTTGGGGGCCCTTGACGTCCCCGCACCCGGTATAATTGATACGGCAGATACGGCGCTACCTACGCCCCTGTGTCACATCCACATCACCTATGAGGCTATGATGCATTATTTAATTTAGTCGCGCGACACAACGATGTCATAGGCAGTCAAATATTTGAACTGATTATGTAACTGTTCGTTATGTAAGTTAACTGAGGGTTAGTAGGTTACAACTGGCAATGAATTACGTGGTATGAATTGATAGAGGTGATGGTACGACATATTCGTATATCGTTAAGCGAGTTGCGAATTTAGAAATGGTGTATGATCAGTTGGCGATTAGGTGTCGCTTCTGTTTTGTTTTAAGGTACGTTTAGACTACGACAGTACACGGTACTCTCAGTGTATGTCTCCATATGAATACGGGTGTCTGTAAATAGATTTTTTTGAGGGGGAAGTCCTATGACTTTTCCCGCCTTGGGTGAGGTGAGAAGACGTGTCAGATTCTAACTGACTACGAAGCACCCCGTTCCTATTTCTGCTCTTCGAACCGGAGCCCAGGCAACCCGTTAGGCTTTCCGCGGTTTCGTATAGGGTATCAGCCCTACTGGGCCCATCTGTGGTGGCTTTTTGAGGCACGCCGTAAGCACGGGTTTAGTTCTGATGGGGCGGCGAGCTACCCTTGCTCACCGTCTGCAGACCCGCACTTATTGTGGCCGGAGGTCGTCGAGCGATCTCCGACGCCCGGAGTGTCTTTTCCGACGGCTGGGGCAGGAAACTGCCATAGTAATTTCTATTCTTTTGTCTGTAATAGGGGTGGGTCTATTACTATATATCAGGAATAATATATGTAGGTACTTTCCAAGCTTATTTTGACACCACTGACAAACGGTGAAGGAAAACATCGTGAGGAAACCTGGAGTTATAAATAAATATATATACCTACTAGTTTTTTAAAATCGCAAACTCGCATTGAGCAAGTGTGGTGATTAATGCTCAGCCCTTATCCGTGTGAGAAGACTCTGTATGATGATGATGATATCTTAAATTTCTTAGTTAAACTGTCAAACACCAAGCGGTCACCGGTGACCGCAACCTATTGTTCTTTGTGTCTACAATGACGGTACTCGACGAGTTAAACTGTCAAACACCGCGAGGACACCGGTGACCGCAACCTATTGTTCTTTAATTGTGTCTGTAATGACGGTACTCAAAGAGTAAAAAGTGATAAGAGAGGGAGGGGGGGGGGGTAAAATGTTGTTGTACGTAAGTTTTTCGAGACAGAAATTCTGTCAAAATGTAATTAAGTATCCAATCTTAGTTGTCATAATGTTTCAAAACTTATTAATTAATGTCTACTAAAACCACGCAATAATAAAAATAAAAATTGTAAAAACGAAGATTGGCCTAATACATATAAGTAATTTGTCAAACAACATACATTATCCGATTAAACACAATGTTAAATTGAAAGCAAGACCCAAGATTTAGATCATCATTAATCTAACCAAAAATTTTAATATTGTCCACAGAAAAAAATGCAATAAGCAACGCCGAAGAAGAGTAAACCAAATTCCAAGATGGCCGCCGTTTCCCAGCTGATTTCCGTCAATGACGTCATAAGCGAGAATTTGAATAAAAATGAAAAAAATACGTACTGTGCTCAGTGCAATGACAATGTAGATGAAAACATGAACAATATGAGTGATAATTTAACTGAAGTGCAAAAATTTTATAATGGCAAAAATATTCTTATTACTGGAGCCACTGGTGAGTTGACCTTCTGCTGTTTTATTGTCGTATTGATAAATTATTGTAGGTTTTTTTAAGGGGGGAAAATCATCGAATGACTGCTCCCGCCTGGGTGAGGCGGGGGGAGTGTCAGACTCTTACTGACTAAAAACCACCCCGTTCCTTTTCCTGCACTTTGAGCCGGAGCCCCGGTAACCCGTTAGGTTCTCCGCGACAAATTATTGTAGGTTAAGAAGCCTACAAGACTATGAATGCAGGTTCGAAACCTGGCAAAATGCAAAGTGATTTTTAAAAGTTTAATATGCATTTCATTGCCTTTAACTGTGGTAGAGCCATGCTTCGGCACGAATGGGCCGGCTCGACCTGAATGATACCACAGCATCACAGAAAACTGACGTAATTCGTCGTGTCTGTGTTCTTACATCTTAAGCTTAGGCTTAAATCCCCTACAATCCTCAAAGTCCCAATTCCCAAAAGGCAAGTAAGGCACTTGTAACGCCTCTGGTGTTCCAGGTGTCCATGGGCGACGCCGATTGCTTACCATCAGATGATCCATCTGCTCGTTTACCGGCTTATCCCATAAAAAGAAAGTAAGACTGCCTCGTTGGCCGAGTGGTCGCAAGTGCGATTGCTGGGCAAGGGATATCGGGTTCGATTCCCAGGTCGGGCGAATTATCACTGAGTTTAAAAAAAAATCTCAGTAGTAGCACGGAGCCTGGAATTGTACCCGGTATATGGCAATAGGCTCACCCCCTATTATACGGGACTTGTAACATAAATAGTAAAAAGTGGATGTTACATTGTACAGTCGCATTAAGTGCTGTAATGCTCACCTCTGCCTACCCCTCAGTGTATCCCCTGAGCGTGATGTTATGTTATGTTATGCTATAGTAAGACGTGATATCTTTACATCCTAAATCCTTCAGGTTTCCTTGGCAAGATCTTGGTGGAGAAACTCCTGAGATGCTGTCCAGGCGTAGAGAACCTGTACCTGCTGGTGCGGCAGAAGAGGGGCAAGGATATCTATACTAGGATGGAAGAAATATTCGATGATCCGGTAAGTTATAGCTTATGTTTTTCTTAAAAAAGCGTTGCCCGATACTAAATGCGTAAATGTATACAGTCTGCACTACTGACATAATTTAGTTAATCCATTTAAAAAATCAAGTGTAAACCACTGAAATCCGTAAGCGCGGGCCTGCGGACGACGAGCATGGGTGGCTTCCCGTCCGACCAGAAACAGACCCAAGCGTACGGCGCGTCGCATTCTGTAATACCTTCTGTAGTCAGTCAGTCGGCAGTCGCACTTGCGACCACTGGGCCAGTGAGGCAGTCTTTTAAAACACGTCAAGGATAAAATTGATGACCCAACACAATTTATTGCCCAACTCAGGAATTAAATGCAACCTTGTGAGGTCAACATCTTAAACAATATTTTTGAAGGTCACAGGAAATATTCGAAACTCATAAATTGATTACTTGAGTCTCTCGTTGGACCTGTGGTTACAAGAGCGATTGCCGAGCTAGGGGTTTTACAGTTGATCCTCGAATCTATCTATATAAATAAAAATGAATATCAGTTTGTTAGTCTCGCTTAAACTCGAGAACAACTGAACAGATTTATCTAATTTTGGTCTTGAAATGTTCGTGGAAGTCCAGGGCCTTTAGCCAAACGCCATTTAAGCGCTTGTCTACCGAGAGAGTAGAAAACTAAATGTATGGGGATGACACTGACAAGTATCAAAAACGTCAATTCCATATAATTTAGTTTTCTACTCTACAAGTAGATAAGCGCTAAATGACTTTTGCTACAGCTGGAGGAAAGGTTTAAAAGGTGAGAATAAAATTTTAGGCGATATGAAGTTTGCCGGATCAGCTATATTGTGACATAAACATTTTATATTCAAGTATTTGAAAATTTCAAATAACACGAAGTCTAGTTTCGTGTCCGATATATGGCAATAGGTAAAATGCTTAATAAAGTATTCGTAACGAGTACGCGATCGGCACTCTGATTGGCCGGCGCCAATGAACCAACCAATCAGAGCGCCGAACGCGTACTCGTTACAATTAATTTAATTACTTTTAACCGAACCAATTGGCAACGCACTTGTGACTCCTCTGGTCTCCTCCATATACCGGGCATAATTCCAGACAGAATTTTTTAAATACGTACTAAACTTTGCCCGACCCGGGAATCGAACTCCCTTTGCCCGGCAGTCGCACTTGCGACCACTCGGCCAACGAGGCAGTCAGTCTTTTTATAAACTGCGTTTAAAAAACCGACTTCAACCCCTCGCTTTTTTTGAAGTCGTCTAATTAACTCGTCGAGTACCGTCATTATATACACAATTAAAGAACAATAGGTTTCGTAAAGAACAATAAGTACCTATACTAAAACCTTATAAGCGTAATAAACACTTTTCTGAAAACAGCTTCAAAATCGGTTCCCCCAACTTTAAGTGTGAAAGAGCCATGCCTCAACACGAATGGGCCGCGACCGGCTCGACCGGAGTGATACCACGACCTCACAGAAAACCGACGTGAAGCAACGCTTGCGTTGTGTTTCGTCGTGGGAGTGACGTTACCGGAGGCCCAATTACCCTCCCCTTCCCCAATCTCCTCAATTCCTGAATCCCCAATGATCCTCAAACTCCTAATCCCCAAAAGGTCGGTAACGCACTTGTAACGCCTCTGATGTTCCAGGTGTCCATGGGCGATGCCGATTACTTACCATCAGGTGATCCATCTGCTCGTTTACCGGCTTATGCCATAAAAAAAACCAACCACTAGACTAGATATCGCGCACAAACATAAGAAATCCTTTTTTGGATTCGGTTAAAAAGTGTGACGTTATTTTAAATTCTGAAGGCCACAGGAAACAATCAAACAAAAACATGATTATAGAAAACCCAAAAAATAGGTTAAATACTTTAAATACAGTAGCCATGACAGTTATGGTCGAAACCTTGGCATTTGACAGGTAGATGACCTAGCCCGTCTGATGCCCTTTTAGGGCTCATGGTGTTAATTTAAACAATTATAAGCTCCTTTATAATTTAAAGGAAGTTGTTAATACAGGACCAATGAAGGTGAAATGATTGTCAATAAATTGTGACATGATTAAAATTAAAAGGTTTTGGGAAGCGACGCCGATGGTAATTGTAAGTTGAAGATGGCGTCTTAAATGTTTTATTTGTAATCTTTCCTGTACCTTTATAAAAAGTTTTTGATTTATTATTATCATTGAAACCTAAAGACGGTTAAACAAGTAGTTTCTAACCTGAGCCTGATTTGGGATGATGACAGGGTATGAAAATTAAAAATGTAATTAGTCCGTCAGTTAGGTAATGAAAAAATATTAGACGCGTATTTTTTTAAAACGTCATTTCTACGTATAAAATGTACATTGAAGTGACGTCACGCGACATTTCAAATCAATATATCGTCGAAAGTATTCGTATCTGTAAGAAAATAAGAAATACGTGTGTAATGTTTTAAAATAATTAACCAGACCGACATTAAAATAAAAATTAGGCATCTACCCTATTACCAGAACAGACTCAAGAAACACTGTAATGAACTAGCACGGGCTTCGAATGGTGAGGGCTTATTGCACCACGTTAGACTGGAACGAAAAGGCATTCCGAGCTGACCTATAAGATTCTCCACTTGAAAGAGAAAGCTCCCAGATGGGATCAAACCATCCAGTAGGATCGCTCTACGCCCATAATAAGTCGCAGACCAAAACAGAGGCATGAGAGTCTCTGGACAGATAGCTATGAGGCAGAAAAAAAATATCATTGAAAGGATGACGTGTGAACATGTATGGGAAATGCACGTACCGACCAAATGAATAGACGAAGGTCGTTTGAAAGCGCTTTTTATGAAAATCATTTGTAATTATCGGGGCTAGTCTCAATTCGTTGAGGGGAAAATGTTATAGTTGCCTTCGACACGCTTCAGCACGAATCGGCCGGCTCGACAACGCTTTTCGTGTGTTTGAAGTTACCGGAGGCTCAATTATCTAAATCTCAAAAGACCGGTAACGCACTTGTAACGCCTCCGGTGTTCCTGGTGTCCATGGGCGACGCTGATTGCTTACCATCAGGTGATCTGTCTGCTCGTTTACCGGCTTATGTCATAATAAATTACTACAAGGATAACAAGCTTAAAGTTATATGTTCGACATAAAAATGTCATTTAGGTTCAAATGTTGCAAATCACATCCTACACATGATGTGACCCTGGTTCGAATCAATGTCAAGGTTTCTTATTTTGGACTTAACTTTGTTAAGAACTTGTGGCGACACATGCCACATGTCTACGGATGACGTCATAAAAATCCTACATCGCACATGCAAAGTTTACACGCAAATTAACACGGATAGAAATTCCCAACGAACAACTGTTGGGCAGAAAGCCCGCCAGGCACGATCACCTCGCCTGGTCGGAGGATCCTCCTTTTCCGATCTTAGGGAACTATACTCTCTGTTCCCTAAAAACTAGACATTTTTCTTTTTGTAAAAACGTTGCCCCACACTAGGATTTTCTCCTGTGTCGTGAGTGCATTTACAAACATACAATATCACATACACATCACACCCAGACCCGAAACAACAATTTGTGGAACACACAGTGTTGTTCCGTGCGGGAATCGAACCCGCGACACGTTGCACGGCCGCCGGTTGCCCAGCCACCGCACCAACCGTGCAATCAACATATCTGGAACTACACTATACTGTGTTTGGTGTCGCGGAGAACCTAACGGGTAACCGGGGCTCCGACTCGACGTGCAGGAGAAGGAACGGAGTGGTTTTTAGTCAGTAAGAGTCTGACACTCCCTCCCGCCTCACTTAGGCGGGAGCAGTCATTAGATGATTTTCCCCCCTTAAAAAAAAATACTGTGTTTGGTGAGAATGTTAGCAGATCTGTGTCTGATGTCCACCGAATTTACAGTTTTCTTCACAAATCTTTCGTGCTACCAATAATTTTCACATGGGGAAACCATCCTTCAACATGAATGGGTTGGCTCGACTGGAGTGATACCACGGCCGCATAGAAAACCGACGTGAAGCAGACACTTGCGTTGTGTTTCGTCGTGTGAGTGAGGGTACCGAGGCCCAATCTGCAATCTTTCTTTAATGAAAGGCAAACGAACAAACAAATAAACTTTTTTATATTCATTAATAAAAATTCTACGCCACACAAAAAGATAATTTATAATATGTAGGTACATAATATATTCCGGACGAAACAGCGGAAAATAGCAAGTATATTTTTGAAAAACCTCATCTGTGTCAAGGGTTATTGACACAGGAATCGACTCTGTACAGATACACAACATGCTAAAAAACCAGTATAAACTGACCGTCGTATGTATGGAAAGATCTTATAAAACGGGGTCATAGTAAAATGGTTATGTACATATTTGCAATATTGCAGGATATAAAATATTATGATACAAAATAAATTTGTTTATGTGTTCGCTCTTTTGTCTTTAACCGACTGTAAGATTTATGGAGGTTATGTTTCATGGATGTTGTTATTGAGTATTTATTGTTGCTCGAGGTCTTAGGTTCGATTACTTTACAAATAGGTACTTACTACAAAATATTATTTTTTTTAAATAATTTCTTTATGCAGTAATTCAGGGAATATCTAGGCGTTTCTTCAAATTATTGATTTACTTTTAAATTGAATATTAAGTGACTATTAATAATAATATTCACAGTTAACCGTAAGTTCAAAGTAAGTTTTCGAGGATGCTCAACCAATTTCGAGCCACTCCTGGGCCTATAATCACAAAACATGACACAAAAAATGCGTGCTTATAATGAAATTTGTTCTGCTTTCCAGGTGTTCAGCCGGTTAAAAGAAGAGGTGCCTAAGTTCAGACATAAGGTGGTTGTGGTGCCGGCAGACTGTGAGGCTGCGGGACTCGGCCTCACGCTGACAGACCGACAAATGCTTACTGAAAAGGTCTGTTTAATTATATGTAGTGACGTATTACGTCCAAATACTCAAACCCACTCAGTTTTAAGAATTTTTAAATAGGTTTTTTCATTGTTACATTTGTTATTATTTATTTAAAAAAATTGTTAGAATAATATCACTTCGAGTCGTCAACGCGATAGATAAAAAACGTGCCTAAAATTTGGCCGCGGAGAACGTAAAAGGATACCGGGTTATCCGGCTCGAAGTGCAGGAGTAGGAATGGGGGGGGGGGGGTTTAGTCAGTAAGAGTCTGACATTCCCTTCCGCCTTGCCCAGGCGATGATTTTCCCCCTCAAAAAAACAGGGTGCTTACTCTTGAAACCAATGTCAATGTCAATGCAGTTTCAATCCAATAAAATATCAATAATTATTCAATGTCAACACTATACAACTACAATCGTAGCTGTTAAAATATCATTCAGAGTATGGAATACAAAGCCAAACTCAATACCATTTAATTCATTCATTTCATAAGGGCCCTATATTTTTAATATATGATCATGATCAGCGTGTGATGTTGATGCTGCTATCGACGTTAAACGTAATATAATATCTGACTTGATTTATCCCACTAAAAACATTCTGTAAAAAACTAGCCAAGTGTCGATGGAGCTGCTAGTTTATCTCTAAAAAGTAGTGAAATATAACAAAGTCGTGCCAAGTCTCAGGTATTGCGATTTCGTTATTATTATAGTTAATGTTGTGTGACTTTGCCGTTGAAGCGTACATAAGGGTACAAAACCAGGTGCTCCATGACACCATTGCACCAATCTGTCGCCAGTACCGCTACCCATTGACAATGTAAAATTGCCATTCGGAAAACGTAGTGTTACCCTTCAACGGCTTAGTCGCGGAGAACCTAACGGGTAACCGGGGCTCCGGCTTGACGTGCAGAAGGAACGGGGTGGATTTTAGTCAGTAAGAGTCTGACACTCCCTCCCGCCTCACCCAGGCGGGAGCAGTCATTCGATGATTTTCCCCCTTTAAAAAAACCCTTCAACGGCCAAGGATCCGGCCTCTAAAGTACTTCAATAAGGAATCAATCTTCTTCCATTCCAGGTGAACATTATATTCCACTCGGCGGCTACGGTGAAGTTCGACGAGCACCTCCGAGCAGCACTGGTGACTAACGTGATGGCTCCACTACATCTACTCCGGCTGGCTAGAGACCTGAAGAAGTTAGATGTAAGTCGATCGTTGCCCCATATTAGGATTTTCTCCTGTGTCGTGGGTGCGTTTATAAATATACAAGTTCACATACACAATGATACCCAGACCTGAAACAACAATTTGTGGATCCTACAAAGTGTTATTCCGTGCGGGCATCGAAGCCACGACACGTTGCACGGCAGCCGGTTGCCCAGCCACCGCACCAACCGTGCAGTCTTTAGCAGTTTAGCTTTGTTTTTATAGTAACTATCGTGAGACATACTAAGTTAACTAAAATCGCGGGTTACTCACGTGAATATACTGAGAAAAGCTCGCGACATCGCCACGACCGCACACGCTGCTCATGGGGAAGAACCCCTCTGTGGTTAGAAACTAGTAGAGCTTTTCTCAGTATATTCACGTGAGTAACCCGCGATTAAAGATATCTTTCTTTATTATTCTTACCTTACCTATACCTTATTTCCAGGTACTAATGCACATATCGACAGCGTACTCCAACTCTCACTTACCGCTGATTGAAGAGAGGTTCTACCCTTGCGAAGCTGATTGCGAGCAACTACACCAGGTGGTTGACAAGCTGACGGACGACCAGCTAAATAAAATGTTGCCTAAGTGAGTCCATTTTATGAACCTGTTTTGTGATGATGAGTGAGTTGTTCAGTCAAAGGTCAAAAGTCCACTGGAACCGTGACTGATGTTCACACGGCAATTCGTAAGTAATTTCATATTAATGTGCATAACAACGCGTGCGTACGCATACACACATGCACGCATACGCACACGGCTACATATATTCGTGTGCATGTGGATAAAAGCGCTGCAGCGCAACCGATGGTAGTTTTATAGTGGCAGTGGACTTTTGACCTTTGACCGTTCAAAAGGCGTCTAGCTTTTTTTTTTGGAAAGAAGGACTAGAGAGTCTGGGGTTGTTACCTCACTAAAAACTCCGCAGTGTCCACTAAACACATAACATCACGACTGTTATCCCCAAAGGGTAATCAGAGGCGCACATTACGGCACTTAATGACAGTGTACCATGTAACACCCACTTTTCACTGTTTATGTTTTGAGTCCCATGTAATAGGGGGTGAGCCTATTGCCACAAACCGGACACAATTCCAGACCCGGAAATTGATACCGAAAAGCAGTGTCCACTCTCAGTACTAAAATAAGCGTCAACGGATCCTCTTAGTAGTAGTAGTGAATCACACAGAATTGCTTCAAACTCAAGTCGAATCCCATGTTTGACGTTTATATAAATTAGGGCAGAGCCCTATATGAGGACGGAGTTGCCTGAAAAGATTTTCTGATAACTATTTTATGTAAAAAAACAATATCTTATGGGAAATGTTTACCCTTCAACTAATTTTTATACGGGGGCAAATTAGACAAGTGTAAGGCACCAGGAAAATCATCGAATGACTGCTCCCGCCTGGGTGAGGCGGGAGGGAGTGTCAGACTCTTACTGACTAAAAACCACCCCGTTCCTTCTCCTGCACGTCGAGCCGGAGCCCCGGTTACCCGTTAGGTTCTCCGCGACAGCTAAGTTCTAGAAGCCAGAACATTTATTTCTTTTGTCTAAAATGTTGTGTTTCACAGGATACTAGGACCATGGCCAAACACGTATACCTTTACAAAGGCGTTAGCGGAAAAGGAGCTACGGGCGAGTGCGGGAGGCATGCCTATAGGTATATTTAGACCGGCTATAGGTGAGTCTTAGGCTATAATTGCCGTTTAATGCTTCTTTCTACCTGTTTTTAATAATATTATTTAGCTGATGTATTTATTTTGTAACTCATAACTATCATATTTATTTTTTCTCTTATTCATGCTCTTATTATATGCAACTTGGGATTGTATGCCAACCCCAAGTTGCTTATATGCTTTAGTCTTTAGTGTATTATTATAATGATTTCTTTTTACATTCTCTCTTATCAGGTCATTCTAACTCCTCCTATCAAAAACTCCTTTTTCTTCACACAGTGTATCCATCTATTGTTTAATCGTCCTTCACATTTCCATCTCTAAAACATAATAGGGCAGTTGCCAGGGAAAGAAAATTAAAAATCGAATTAGTCCGTCAGTTAGATAATGAAAATAATATTAGACACGTATTTTTTTTAATTTCTCGTATAAAGTTACAATACTTAAATAAAATGGAATTAAGTTTAGGAGTGGGAGGTCGTTACGTCATTATACCCTACAAAATGTGGCGCATAGTGACGTCACACGATATTTCAGATTAATATATCGTCGAAAGTATTTAATTTTGTGAGAAAAGAAAAAATACGTGTCTAATGTCTTAAATTAATCTACTCGACGGACATTAAAAAAAATTTAGGCAACTACCCTATTAAGAAATAGGAAAAACTAATTTAAAAAAACAGAGGACAGTGTGACGTCACGCACACAATAACATCGACACCATTACAGTCCATGACTGTCCAATGCTAGAACAAAGGCCCCTTAAGTAAGGGCTTGTCTACAAACATAAATAAAAGCATTTGCCATAGCCTCCACGATTAGCAGGCTGTTATAATTCACAGTTTAAAAGGTCAGCATAAAGCTGACAAGAGAGCGCTGCTGTCCCATCGATGTCAAATCTCTGTCGAATATCGTCTTTTTCGAGACACGATGATTATTCATTACTAAAAATAATATTAAAATCTAATGTATATTGATAGTGCCTAATATAATAATATAATGACGGTGCTTTAAATTTTAATGTCAATGCTATTTATTTATTTATTTAAACTTTAATGTACACACAAACAAGTAATGGTGCATAAGACGGACATTAATGCCATATGGCATTCTCTCCCAGTCAACCTTAGGGTTAAAATGGAAATCGGCGAAAAAATAGGCATGTGTAATTATTAGAAACAAACAACATAAATAGATTTAATAAATATAAAAAGGTATTAAAAATATTTAAAATTTACACTACAATATAAATACAACATAAATATATAGCATGCTCTTATATACATAAATATTGACGCTGGCAGAATAGTCAACTACTAAATAGTGGAGACTCAATTGCCATAGAAGAAAAACAAAAAAAAAAACGAATTTACTCTGCCGTAACTATACGGCTGATTGCGCCAAAAAGGGCGTGATAATAAAGAGCCTATATAAATATTTCAATGGAATTTTCAAAAGCCGTTTCAGTAATATTTACCTGCAATATGTTTCAGTTATATCTACAGCTAAGGAGCCGTTGAAAGGCTGGTTAGACAACATGTATGGACCCACCGGAGTTGCTGTTGGCAGTGGTAAGTGGCATTTTAATCATCACCTGTATCTTCTTCTTGAAGGGGGTCATCAGACGTATATGCTACATATTTAATGAATTTACTCATAAACATAAATATAACATCACGCCTTTTATTCCGAAGGGGTAGGCAGAGGTGCACATTATGCCACTGTATAATGTAACACCCACTTTTCACTATTTATGTTACGAGTCCCATGTAATAGGGGGTGAGCCTATTGTCATATACCGGGCACAATTCCAGACTCCGTGCTACTACTGAGAATTTTTTTAAAACCCAGTAATACTTTGCCCGACCCGGGAATCGAACCCGAGACCCCTTGCTCGACAGTCGCACTTGCGACCACTCGGCCAACGAGGCAGTTTGAAAAGAAAGAAAACTGCATTCGATGTTTTTAAAAATTGAAAGGAAAACAATGAAATCTTATGAAGTTTTTTAAAGAGATTTCATCCTTATTGACCTTAACAATCGATGCAATAAAGGTGCCACTTTTACAGATTTTAGTCGGTTCGATTACCGTGTGCATGCAAAATGTCCATGAGCACTGATTGCTTACCATCAGGTGATCTGTCGCCTCGTATATACTTAGTACTTACCCATTTTTCCTAATTCCAGCCACTGGCATCTTAAGGACAATGCAGTGTGACGAGATGGTGTCAGCAGACATCGTGCCTGTGGACTCAGTAGTCAACTGCCTCATGGTAGCGGCATGCAGTGTACATAATGCTTATAAAACAAGGTATGTATATATACATCCATAATACATACATAACTTCACGCCTGTCTCCCATGGGGGTAGGCAGACACTATGGAACGCTAATACTACGATTCCTACACACCTCTTTCGCTTCATCAACAGTCATCCATCTTTTCATGCATGCTCGTCGGTTAAAAGTACTTTTAATTTGGCCCTTCTTTAATACATCGCCAATCTGGTTACTAGAGGTATATGTCCGTCTAGGGCGCTCTCTACCGACGGCCCCATTCATACCCGTACTGTACACTTCTTTCGTTACTCTGCTTCATCCATCCTTTAAGATTTTAAATCTAAGACTGTCCAAGAATACTTGCAGCCCTCACAATATGTAAATAGATGACCAACAAATGACAAAATGCTCGCATCTTGCTTAAAAAAATTTTAAACTGTCCACGAAGCGGTGACATTAAACCCGCCTATCGTTTTTGAGCAATGCATGAATTGCTTTTGATGGGACAAGCCCGCTACAACCTCTTAAAACCGCTGCAACTCCTGTAAGCCAGGATCTATAGTAGATACAACCATGAAAACACCGGAACACTGAAGTCCGGCGCGTCCCAGGGACATGAATATTGTTATTAAAGCCATGTTTGCAGAGTAGAAAGCATTTGTCACCGCCCCTGCCCTTGTCGCGGGTGTCGTATACCCAACTAAGGGGCTACATATTTGATAGAGAATGGGCAGCAACTGTTTATTAAATCTGAACTTTTTGGACTTTAATTTTCAACCTAACAGAAGCACCGACGAGAAGAGTAGGGAGTAGGTGGCGGCAATTTTTTTATACTCTTGTAGAACAAGGTGACAAAAGTCGTCATGACTAATTCTTTAGTCCTTGTTTTATATTTGACTAGCTACTTCCGCGCGGTTTCACACGCTCTGCTCAGCTTTTATTGGTCGTAGCGTGATGTTTTATAAAACAGGCTATAAATAGGCTAAAGCTATCCTTGATAAATGCGCTATCTGATATAAAAGAAATTATTCAAATCAGACTTGAAGTTACGGAGATTAGCGCGTTCAAACAAACAAAAAAACAAACTCTTCCGCTTTATATAACAGTATAAGATGGGCCGACGTTGGACGACTATCTTGCCTGGTCCTTGACTATATTAAGTTATTTATTATCATTATCAACACCCTATATGTGGAGGACCAAAGGCCTCTTCTCACACGGCGACGCTTTGAGCATTAATCACCACGCTTGCCCAAGGCGGTTAGTGATTTTAAACTTGTAATCTTTTACTTATACTTATATATTATATAAAGCGGAAAATTTTGTTTTTTTGTTTGTTTGTTTGAACGCGCTGATCTCCGTAACTACAAGTCTTATTTTAATAATTCTTCTTGTGTTGGATAGCGCATTTATCGAGGATGGCTTTATGCTATTATAAATCATCACGCTACGACCAATAGGAGCTGAGCAGAGCTTGTGAAACCGCGCGGAAGTAGCTAGTTAGAAATAATAAGCCCAAGTTTCCTCACGATGTTTTTCTATTGTCAATGGTGTCTAAATAATCTTATTGTGATTGTATTTCTCTCCCAGTTCTCCACCACTAGAACCTCCGATCTTCAACTATGTAAGCTCAGTGGAGAATAGGATCACCTGGGGCGACTTTTTGTCCAAGAATATGGCCTGGATCCACCACTACCCATTCACTGATGCTGTTTGGTAAGTCACGTCACACTGAACATACATCTTAAATTTGTCTAGATGAAAATATATTTTATTGTTAGTGAAGAATTATTAAATGTCGCCTTCCGCTCTGGGTTAGGCGAGAGGGAGTATTGGACTCTTACTGACTAAATAACCCAAACCCCAACCTTATTAGAGAACCAGTTGTTAATTAAAATAATTGTAATCTATTATATGGACAATAATAAAAATAATAATTCCTTATAAAGATGTTTATTTTTAAATCATATTAAAATATTATTACCTATGTGGTGTACAATAATATATCACAAACCAAGAGAGTCAAGAAACATGAAATTGTCTCAAAATCCCCAAGTCATAATAATGTTCTTTCAATTTTGTTTCAGGTTCATATCAGTGAGGCTAACGAAATCGGCTGCAATAAATAAAATGTACATGTTCTTCTTGCACCTTGTACCGGCTACACTGGTCGATGGGCTAGCCGTCTGCTTAGGGAGAAAGCCAAAGTAAGTATCTAGCATTCTTCTTTATATTGACTTTAATTCATAATCACCTGGAGTAAGCATCCAAAGCTGTAACTCTCTTCATCTGCAAACTACCTTTGGGGTTGGTGTAATCCTCATCTCCATCGCATCCTACTTTAAAATTTACTTGGGTATTAGAAACTGCGTACCGATAATTTACAGATTGAACCTCACTCTCAGTGGAGTTTCGAAGTTTTATAATCTAACGAAATAATTTTATGTTAATCCATTTTAGTAACAGAAATAATTTAACTCAAAAAGTTCAATTTAACCTTTTTTCAGACAATCTGTTATGTTTATATATCTCCTGTACGATGTATCCATTCATACTTTTAGTGCTCTACTTTGAAGTCGAATCTGGAACCTTCCACTTGATATTACCAGTTCAAGACACTGACTGTTACTTCACCTACTTTTCTCGACCTAAAATTAACCCTAAAAACATTTACAATAATACATAAACACATATACATAAACATATTTTCACCCAAATTCCTAATTATTTCAGGATGCTAAAAGTATACCGTAAGATACACAAGTTTTCATCAGTCCTATCATATTTCTGTACGCGAGAAATCAAATTCTGCAACAGCCGGACGAGAGAACTTTGGGAGAAGACTTCTGAAGCCGATAAGAAGGTAAATATTATATATTTTTATAAGAATTATTATTATTATTACAAAATGCGTTATGTTATAGAGGTATAATAATTATTATGACAAAATAATCAAAATACACTGCACGTAACTATTTGGGAGAGCTCAACTACTTTCTAGCTTCAACAGGGCTTATAATAATATCGTCATCATGATTTAAAATCGACGCAAGCGCTACCATAAATATCTACAAAGACCCATCGGACTGCAAACCAAGTTGCGCAACCAAATCGACACCAGATGAAATACCAACCGTGTAATTATATTTTGTTGGTTGCACTTAACCTGGTCGAACGATTTTTTTTTTGAGGATAGGGTTTATTTTTCTGCGGTTTCAATAAAAACCTGTAAAAGCTGACCTTGACCTGGATAACGGACTTAGGTTTTTACAGCTGTAATTTCAGGTGTTATGTAAATTTTGAAAGTAGTTCAAGTCAACAATTTATATTGTAGTCATTTCATATACTGCCTTCTACTATATTAGACTGCCTCGTTGGCCGAGTGGTCGCAAGTGCCACTGCCGGGCAAGGGATCTCGGGTTCGATTCCGGGGTCGGGTCAAGTATTACTTAGTTTTAAAAAAAATCTCATTGGTAGCACGGAGTCTTAAATTGTGCCCGGTATATGGCTACAGGCTCACCCCTAATTACATGGGACTCATAACATAAATAGTGAAAAGTGGGTGTTACATTGTACAGTGGCATTAAGTGCCGCAATGTGCAAATTTACCTGCCCCTACGGAGATATAAAGGCGTGATGATGTTATCATTTCATATATTCATTGTTTATTACTATTTTCTTTTTTTGAGTGCGTATCTGCTTTAGCATTACCCATAGTTTGAAGGAAACCTTTTTTATATGATTGATATCTTTGCAAAGGGATAGGCAGATGAGTAGGTAGATATCTACTTATTATATACTCATTTATCAACTTTATATAACCGACTTTAAAAAAGGAAGTAGGTTCTCAGTTCGACCTGTAGAGGTATATATGTACTAGCTGAGCCCGCGACTTAGTCCGCGTGGTATAATGATTCATAGCTCCTCCTCCGTAGTTGATAGCATGATAATAAGTAGCCTATATGTTGACCTGTTAGTGATATTCATGCAAAATTTCAAGTGCATGCAGCACTTTTTGTGTTCATCCCGGACATATCTACGTACATACAAACAGACAAGACTAATATTCTAAATCCCATATTTTTTGGTTTCGGTATCGAATGTAGGTCACGCCCAAAGCATTCTTTAAAAAAATATTCGATGTACAGTTTTGACTTTCCTACGATTTTATTATTTGTATATTGATAAATATCTATAATATTTAGGAGAAGTTTTTACTAAGTAGCTATATTAATTAACCGACTTCAAATTAGAGAGGGTTAAACGTAGTTTATAAAAATTATTAAATTAACTAAAAATCGCGAGTTACCCACGTGAATATACTGAGAAAAGCTCTATTAGTTTCGTACCACAGAGGGGTTGTTCCTCATGAGCAGCGTGCGCGGACGCGGCGCTATCGCGCAGCCTACTAGGCAGCCCCGCCGTAAGCACACGGGCGCACGATCATGAGGGGCGGCAAATCGAGCGACTCATTACCTAATATTCAAAATCATTGTCCCGAGTAAGCAGAAAGCATAAGAAATATCATCGCCGGAAAAAACTATCGAGCGTCCTCGATCGCTTTCGAGGGTCACTCGAAAACTATCGAGCGTCCTCGAAAACTATCGGGCGTCCTCGATAACTTTCGAACGTCCACGAAACCTATCGATCTTCCTCGAAAACTTTCGAGCGTGCTCGAAAACTATCGAGCGTCCTCGAAAACTATCGAGGGTCCTCGAAAGCTATCGAACGTCCTCGATCACTTTCGAGCGTCCTCGATCACTTTCGAGAGTTACTCAAAATGTATCGAGCGTCCTCGATTACTTTCTGGACTTACTCGAAATCTATCGAGTATTTTCTTACATTTTCGAGATATCTCTGCCGCAGGAGACGCTTTTGGTGTAGTATGGCGTCGCCTTCTCCGCCACCGTAAGCGCGAGTCTGCGGACGGCAAGCAAGGATCACCTGATACCTAGCAAACCCGACCGTACGGCACGTCGTGTAAAATGCAGGCCTCAAAGAGTCATTACTTCATCAGACACCATAGATGGACCCACCAGGATTGTTGCCTTGCTGGAGGGTACGCTGTCATTGGAGGGAATGGTGTGGTTTTTAGTTAGTAAGAATTGTAGGAGTCACTTCACACGGCTCCATAGCAGCACTTTTACACGTCAATTTTATCAAGCGAACGATGAGGCCGACATTTCCTAACTGACTACTCTGAGAAGAAATGCCGAAACAAACTCAGAGGTCTTCTTCCTGCTCTATTCACAATTATTTCATTTTTTCCAGATATATCCATTCAGCATGACCGAATTGAATTGGGAGGAGTACTTCCGAGACTATCTCGCCGGCATCAGGAGGTATTTGTTCAAGGAGAGCGATGACACACTACCTCAAGCCAGGATTAAGTGGAAAAGGTAAATTGGAACGTTTTTATGAATTTAGGAATGGTTTTTATCTACCAAAAAAGTCAATAAAAAAAGACGACTGCCTTGTTGGCCGAGTTTTCTTATGGCATAAGCCGGTAAACGAGCATGGACACCCGAAACACCAGAGGCGATATAAGTGCGTTACCGGCTTTTTGGGAATTGGGAATTTGAGGATTGTGGCGGATTTGGCGATTAGGGAGACTGGGGAGGGAAAGTAATTGGGCTTCCGGTAACCTTACTCACACGACGAAACACAACGCAAGCGTTGTTTCACGTCGGTTTTCTGCTCGGCCGTGGTATAACTCCGGTCGAGCCGGCCCATTCGTGCCGAAGCATGGCTCTCCCACACTTGAATGACAGGGATAGCACGATATCATTACATAGTCTATAACAAAGTCGCTATCCGCCGCCTCTCTGTCACTATGTATGCTTAGATCTTTAAAACTACGCAACGGATTTTGATGCGGTTTTTTTAATAGATAGAGTAATTCTTAAGGAAGGTTTATTTTTTATTTATTTTAGTTTATTCCCAGCAATATCCTTACAGACTTATCCAAATCGATATTGAGGCCTCTTATATCTAAATTACAAACTAAATTTTTAACTAACTAACCATAACAAATGCTACGAAGTGCCACTTTAGTGAATTCACTCAGAGTGCAATAAAACATACCAACGTCTTCAGCTATGAGGTTGAGCGTGCGCAGTGCGCGCGTCAGAGGCGCGTCGCTCAGTAACTTAGTGCGCGCTCGCGGCACCGCCAGTAGGCGCGGTCGTCGCCGACGTGTAATACATGCATATTGCACCCGTACGAAGCCGGGGCGGGTCGCTAGTTTAAGTATAACTTAGAATTGAGTAGCCTTTCAGCATTCCGGCCTGAAGTATAGGTACTTGTATGTCTAATTCATTTAAATTTTGTTCCAGACTATACTATCTACACCAGATAACAAGGTTCATTTTCTTCATCCTGGCAGTCTACGCGCTATGGTGGATCTTATCATTATTGTGGTGATTTATTTTTAAAGTTAAATTGTACAGTTTGTGTATAAAAACGTGATTTTAATACCTACATATGTACAAAGAGCACAAGAATTTAGTTTGCAGGGAAGTAAATAGATTGATAAATTATTATGTTTTCGTCTTACTCACGTAATTATTTGACGAGGAACTCTATTACTGAGCGTAGCAGCGCGACAGTTGCCGCGTCGCGAGTCGCGAAATGCTGCTCATGAATATGAGCCTCTAGCATGGCTATAAACTAGTCGAGTTCCTCGTCAAATAATTACGCGAGCAAGCCGAAAGGTATAATACAAACAAAAATAGATTGATTCGGTACAGAGACAGTAGCCATTGGTTGTCTAGAGCCGACTGAGTTACAAAAAACATGGCTTCGTTACAAAGCGTACAATATAGTATAACAATAGATACTGTCTCTGTACTGAATCTATCTTTAGTTTATTACCTGCGTACTAAATAATTTGGCTGGCTGTATAGTAAAATAACCTGTGTTTGAGACTACGGGACTTAAAAGTACGGATTGACGAATAGCTGGAGCTGACGCATTCTCGAAATTTTCCTCATTTTCTAAAAAGTACCTAAGTACTTACTTTTTATAGTGATATAGGAATCGTAATTAAAAAAATGTTTTATGTGAAGCGAATAGTCAAGAGTCAAGAGCAACATTGCGTGATAAAAATTCACGGCGAGAGACGCGCCAATAACATTTTTTTTTAAATGTAACGTTGGATTTTCTTCTGTGTCGTGGGTGCGTTTACAAACATACAAGTTGACATACTCATGACACCCAGACCCGGAACAACAATTTGTGGATCATACAGAGAGTTGTTCCGTGCGGGAATCGAACCCGCGACACGTTGCGCGGCAGCCAGTTGCTCGGCCACCGCGCCAACCGTGCAGTCATAACTGATTATAATAATAAAAAAAATATGGAATGATCGTGACGCGATAGAATTTTTGAAAACAGACTCTATTGTTATTTATAAAGGGTTATTTTGGTATGCACTGGTGATGGGAATTCACTAGTTAGAAAAGTAAGACTATTGTGTTTAGCTGTGGACCTCTATTGGCCGATATGATGAATAACCTAGGTTTTGAAAGGTATGGTCTCAAATACAGGTTTAAATATATTTTATAAATAATTATTAAGCCAAGATCAATGTGATATATTTATAATCAAATGACAAAGGTAATATTACATTTGTCCGCAGCAAATAGCAGTTTGTGTGCTTGTATAGTTTTCTCATCACTCAGAACTGTCAGTAAATAGATTGGGAGAGGATGGGTGTAACCGTACGGCCTTGAATGCTGGCTTTACTGTATTTGCTCACCAGTTGTTGTTTATGTGAACCTCTCGTTTTTCGTTCAATATGGAATTAGCTAATCTTTTTTGCAACATTTGCACCATCTCCGTGGCACATTTGGGCCCTCTCTCTGCTACATTTGCGCCCGGTCTCTGCTACATTTGCGCCCTCTCTCTGCTACATTTGCGCCCTCTCTCTCTGCTACATTTGCGCCCTCTCTCAGCTACATTTGCGCCCGGTCTCTGCTACATTTGCGCCCTCTCTCTGCTACATTTGCGCCCTCTCTCTGCTACATTTGCGCCCTCTCTGCTACATTTGTGCCCTCTCTCTGCTACATTTGCGCCCTCTCTCTGCTACATTTGCGCCCTCTCTCTGCTACATTTGCGCCCTCTCTCTGCTACATTTGCGCCCTCTCTCAGCTACATTTGCGCCATATTCTAACAAAAAAAATAGCCCAAATTATAAAAACGTTTTACCTTACGGTTTGTGAGCAAATATTTCACATCGATCTTGACTCATGTATAGGATATAAATTTTACATTTTATGTAAAACCAAAACTGTTGTAAGTAGAATAAGAATAAAAATAAGTTCATTAAGAATAATAATAAGAATGTGTACTTTAAATAATTATGGTAGGTTAAAAAAGACAAATTATGTTACCAAAACCTTTATTTTTATAAATATACCTACTTTATTGAAATGTAATAGAAAACAATGGTGATATTTTAAAGGGTTCATTGTCTGAATATCTATGTGTAATATAAAATAAATGAATCAAATATTATTATGGAACTAAAATTGTTATTTTCTTTTACTTGCCCTTATCCCACACTTCCTTTTTTAAATTGCATATTAAAAATCGCATCCTATATTGATATTTTCGTATAAATCAGCCCAAGAGCCATGCATCGGCACGAATGCGCCGCACAGTGGTGCAGGTAGTACGGGCATGCGGAAAATATTATTTTTTAAATGAGAAGACGTTGCATTTCTTCCTAATACTTTATTAAAATGATATCATAAATGTACCAGAACACAAAAAGAAAGATATGTACCTATTTTTTTTCTTGATCATATACAAAATATACTTACAGTCTAAGTATTAAAGATATATAGTTTTAGAGATGGGTTCTATCCACTAATTAAGCTAATTGGCATCATAGTGAAGGGGATAGGATTTTTTATTTGCTACTGCATGTAGACCTTTACCGACCGATAAGGGAATCTAAGGTAGCTAAGAGGAGCATACTCTTTACATCTGTCGAGCGCGAAGCAAACACTGCCATACCATCCTTTACTGGAACCATTTCGCTGCATTTTTAGGCTCCTATTTGAGAACCTCTGGATAAGATCAGAAGGCAGAAATTTTCGTCATCCAATAAGCTATAATCACATACTTCAAATCCAAAATTACAAGTCTACAGGTCATTTAGTTCCGAAGTTAAGCGAAAGCAAAGTTTCGCATTTATGACACTCACGCACTCACTCATGATCATCAAAATAGAACTAGTACTCCCCATAACCTCAGAGAGCTGAAATTTGGTACAGAGTTAGGTTTTATGGTCACGTAAAGTGAAAACTATAAAAACTAGGATTATCGAAGATCTGGAGTAAATGGTGATCCTGAATAGATTAAATAAACAAATTACACAAAAAATTTAGTCAAAATATACATTGGACTAAGAGTGAAGGTAATACCGCATTCTACAAAAAGAAGTGAAGCCCACTAAAAAAATTTGGAATAATCTAGCCAAGTCTCGATGCAGCTGCTAGTTTATCTCTAAAAAGTAATGAAATATAACAAAGTCGTCCCAAGTCTAAGGTTCCTTATTGCGATTTCGTTATTATTATAGTTAATGTTGTGTGACTTGGCCGTTGAAGGGTAGCACCACGTTTTCCAAGTGGCAATTTTCCATTGTCAATGGGTAGCGGTTCTGACGACAGATTGGTGCAATTATGTCATGGAGCACCTGGTTTTTTACCCTTCAACGGCAAAGTCACACAACATTAACTTAATAATAACGAAATCGCAATAAGGAACTTAGACTTGGCACGACTTTGTTATATTTCATTACTTTTTAGAGATAAACTAGCAGCTCCATCGAGACTAGTTTTTCACAAAATGTTTTTGGTGGGATCTTTATTAGATACATGATAGACGTGAATATTTTCTTGAATTACCTAACTTATAATTACGGAATCTTTATTTGAAGCAGTTTCTTCAGAACCGCTTTCACACAATCTTTTGACTTTATCATCAATTGATTTTTCTGGTCCTCATCTATGTAAGCTTATTGATGGCCCTGAAATATTACAGTCACAATTCACCATATCAGGCGGTACGGAAGATGTCTCAAAATCAAAAATATTTTTCAGTCACTGTTAACTTTTTGCCATTAACCATTTTTATTTCTCGCTGCAGTTTGCCACTTTTCGTAAACTCTTATTTACAATTACGACTTAACTTTTCGTAAACTTGCGTCCAAATTCTTTTTGTAATCTGTGGATACATAAATTTTCAATTTTCGGGGCATTTATGTAACTCATGATTAATATCTATTGGGTATCTAATATCTATTGATATTGCTTGGCTATGTTCACTAAATGGGCACAGACTATAACAAAGCTATCCAGTCTGTTATCGTAAGAGATTAAATAATTGTAACTGAACTTAAAACTACTTTCAATGCTGTTTACTATATATTTACAGGACATGATAAAGTGTTAAATACCCTTGTTAGAAAAACTTCTTGATATGATACACTTTTTCCGAACTACAGAACGTCTTCAGTCAAGGGTCTGGTATTTCCAACATCGCAAGTTATCGCAGCCAAAACTAATGAATTCTTAATCTATAGGGTCTAATTAATCTCCGAAGGTATATTATTACGCAACGGTCGATACCGGAGATTAGTTATGATCTAATGATTGATAACAAAAGGTTTCAAATGAATGACTTTCTTTAAAATGTAATAGCGAGTAAATGTTCATTATATCGTACATTATAATTACGTTTCTTATTAGTATACACAATAAACTTATAACAAAACAAAAAATAACATAACACAACATCACGCCTTTTAATCCGCGGAGACCCCTTCGGGGATAAAAAGGCTACCCAGCCATAGGTGTACATTTCGGCACTTAATGCCACTGTACAATGTAACACCCACTTTTCACTATTTATGTTAAGAGTCCCATTAATAGGGGATGAGCCTATTGCCATATACCGGGCACATTTCCAGACTCCGTGCTACTACTGAGATTTTCAAAAACCCAATAATACTTTGCCCGACCCGGGAATCGAACCAGAGATCCCTTGCCCGGCAGTCGCACTTCCGACCACTCGGCCAACGAGGCAGTCAAAAAAAGCTTATTAATTGTAGTATTTAGGTTCTATTCATACTTGAAATTTTACATGAAATTTGTTAATTCTCGATCACCTTACTTTGGCACCATTTAGGTAATTAAATACTGTGTTATTATTTATATGTATTAATGTTGACTTGTTTCTACTAAAATCTTAGTGTGTGTGTATCAAACTGTAAACATTTTAAACTAAGACGAAGAAAAGGACTTTTTTCCGCTCTTGAATCAATGTGCGCTGGCTCGACCGGAGTGATACCACGGCCGAGCAGAAAACCGTCGTGAGACAACACTTGTGTTGTTTCGTTTTGCGAGTGTGGTTACCGGATGCCTAATTACCCGCCCCCTTCCCAATCTCCGAATCCGCAACAATCCTCAAATTCCTAATCCCCAAAAGGCCACGCGCACTTGGTAACGTTAACGTCTCTGGTGTTGCGGGTGTCCATGGACGGCGACAATTGCTTACCATAAGTGGATCCGCTGGCTTACTGTATAAAA